GAGAGAGAGAGAGAGAGAGAGAGAGAGAGAGAGAGAGAGAGAGAGAGATAGATAGATAGATGATCTTTATTAAGCCCAAGCATAAGCTATAGGGCAAATTCATAACATAGCCATAATACATATAACGTAGTGTAAGCATAAAGACTCTGAGCAAGAGTATAAGCAATAGCTAAACATAAAAAGCGGAAGATTATGTGAGTTCAAAACTAAAGGAGACAAGCATGTTCATAATCAATTGTTTGAACTCATCTCATCAACACTTATTTGACGCATGTATTACAATATGACGATAATGTGTATAAAATACTTAACAATACGTAACAATATGTACAGAATACTTCACACTACATTATGCTCTCTCGATCAAGTTTATATCAGTACGCAACTAATCCAATCAACGCTTATTTGACGCATGTATTATAATATAACGTTAGTATATAGAAAATAATAGACAATATGTACAGAATACTTAATACTACATAATGCTCCCGATCAAAATTACATCAGTACACAACACAATAAGCCATTCAACTCTACTCCGACTCATATTCAGACGCCAGTAAAAAAGACCGTAGAAGGCTCTTGAAGGATCCCAGAGAAGATGCCGATGTAATGCAAGACGGTAGAGATTGCCAGAAATATATGGACGAAATGTGAAAGGAATTCCTATATGTGACAGTTCTATAAGCAGGCAGATTAAATGTTTGAGATGAGGTGGCACGTCGTTCAGATCTCCGTAGCGCTGGATCCAGCTGGGTAAAGAGATCACTTAAATATGATGGAGAACGCATATGAATAGTTCGATACATCAGGCATCCAAGGAAATAAAGCCTTCTGTTCTCAACACTGAGCCAGCCCAGTTTCCGCCTATACGGTGTAATATGTTCGTCACGCCTAAGATTGAAGATGAACCGTATGCTACAGTTTACCAGCCTCTGAAGTTTAGTGTTGAGTTCACCAGTTAGACCATGATATACTAAACAGCAGTAATCTATATGAGGCAAGACCAAGGTGACAACAAGTTTTACTCTTAATGCAGTAGAAAGACTGTTTTTGTTGAACTTAATTTTATGTAACGCATTATGAGCCTTACGTGAAACTAGTGAAATATGTTTCTTCCACGACAGATTAGGTGAAAAGATCACCCCCAAGTTCCTCACCTCGGTCACAAAAGGCAGGGGCACAGCATTAACAATAACCGGCGGCAGAGTATCGAGACTGATGTTGCTGACATGCGCATTACTCCCAAATATCATAACATTAGATTTAGACGGATTAAGTTTGAGACCGTTTTCGCAAGCGTAATCGAAGATAGCATTAGCGTCTTTGGTAATTAGCTCAATACCCTGACGGATGTTAGCCGGAGGACATCTGTAGTAAATCTGAATATCGTCCGCAAATATCATATGTTCCGAGTAGTGTAAGACACAACCTATGTCGTTCACGTAAAGGGAGAACAGATGTGGACCCAACACGGAACCCTGAGGTACACCACCCCACGTAAACCGCCAGCCGGAAAATTTACCAGTCTCATCAACAACTGCCTGAGATCTTCCAGTCAAATACGAGAAGAGCCATCTCAGAACTGCATCAGAAAAACCCAACGCTTTCAACTTTATGAGAAGTCGAAGGTGCGGGACCATGTCAAAGGCCTTGCTAAAGTCAAATAATACCATGATTGTGATCAACCCCTCATCTATACCTTTCTTAATGTCATTACAGACTCGCAAGAGAGCAGCCTGGGTGTTATAACCAGGTCGGTATGCTGATTGTCTGGGATTTAGGAGATTGTGATCATTAAGATAGCGTACAATCTGCAAGGCAACGATCTTTTCGAGGATTTTCGACAGCTCAGGCAGATTAGCTATAGGTCTCGTATCGGACGGAGACAATGGAATACGGACCTTAGAAAGAGGGC